AGAGAGAGAGAGAGAGAGAGAGAGAGAGAGAGAGAGAGAGAGAGAGGAGGAATCTAGCATAATACCCGCACATAACAGACAGTAACTATGATTATAAGACATGGTGATATTTTACTTTATAATTGGTGTTGGCTTACTACAGTTATTAAAGTAAATAGGAAGTGGGAAATCCACGTATTCCCTAATTCTCAAAAGGTAATTAGGCTAAGGTAGCTCATCTACATCTATTAAGCTGGGTGGGAAAAAATATTAACCATAGGGCTTTACTTTGTGACCTGCCTCATAGGGTGCTATGCAGAAAGTGTATGTTCTTGAGTACTTTATTTTGGTATGTCTCACCTATATCTAAACTTCACATATAAAAAGCACAGAAGTACAAATGCCTTATATTAAAATCATAGCTATTCAGGAGGTTTGAGCTCTTTCTTGCTGTTGCAAAACATTGGTTGCTGATTATAAAAATAAGTGATTCTCTTACTTTTGTTTGATGGCTAAAAACAATGAACTAAAACAAGAGTTTCGGATCTTACAGACCACCCTGGTACAACAGATGAGGAGCAGAGATCACATTTGTCACCTGCGGCTGTGTGATGTGGGACATATCAGCTGACCATGGATAAGCCTGGACGTTGCCCACACCTGCCCCGCAGGCTGCCCCTCCTCCACACAGCGAGAGTCCTACTTCTCACCCTCTGCCATCCTCCAATTTGGTACTCTGTGCTGAACTCCTAATGCCAGCCATGACTCATGCTCAGTCTGTGTTTAACAAAGGAAAATGTCGACATCAACCTGGCATCCACTTGTGATGATGTTTTTTCTTAAAAAAAAGTAAGAAATAGCCAGTTTCTTGAGGCATCAAATGTAACAAACATAAACAGAGAAGAGAGAACTGTTCATTAAAATTTTCCCTTCAAATGAGCTGTCTGCCAAATAAGTGGATGCCTCATCAAGCCTGCGGCTGTTTGGCTGTTTGCAGCTGTTGTTCGCTGTTCCTGGAGATCCACATGGAGGGGTCAATCAGCCGCTTCCGCCAGGGTAGGCCCGGTAGGTTTCAACTCTCAAGGTCTGGGACTCCTGCCTGGTCCCTGTCTCTACTGCGTGTGTTCTTTTCCTATCAGCCCCTCCCTCATCCTGCAAGGCTGGGTGGCTACCTCAGCCTGTTTTCTGTCCATCCTCCTCTGGCCTGTCAGCCCCAAGGGCAGAGTCCCTGCTCTGCTTGCTCATGTGTCCCCAGTCCTCAGCCCAGTGCCAGGCAGAATCGAAGGTCACCATATATTTTGTCATTGACAGAACAGATAAATATGAGAAATAGTCCTTTTGCTGAAATGCAAAATAAAGAACCTCAACTTGGTCCCTTTCACCAAATGACAGTGGCTGGGCTTGTTGTGAGCAGCTGCCCAGTGTCCCGAAGACTTGGGTCGTCCCTGCTACCTTCCACACAAGGTAGATATCCTCAGCTCCAGGGGTCTCTTGTGTTTCTCCAACTGAGCCCCCTTCTACCTCCCTCTTGGCCCCCCCAGGCCCTATCCATCCCCTGGACCTACTGAAGTCCGACCTGGGCCACAACACACTTCCCAAAACCCCCATCTCAAGTGCCCATGCCCTATTAAGAAATTTGATTGAATTAACTGTTTAAAAAAAAAAACAACAACTTTGCTCAAACTCTGTATGCCAGAATGACAAAGGAAACAAGGTGATAAGGGAGACCTGCTCAGCTAAATAGCAAAAGGCATTTTATACTTTGAGAAAGGACACGAAAATGAGAAGGACACATGAGCCAAATACAGAGAACAGAAGCCCATCCAGTCCCGTGTAGCAGTTTCTCTAGCACACTTGGCTTCAGTAACTTCAGCTAGGGGAGTGAGCTAGAGAAGGGAAGGAGGGGAGAGATGAGTGCGGGCAGTGGGTAGGGACCTTCAGTCCCCAGGCCATGGGCTGCCTGAGCATCTCTGAGCCCAGTCAGGGACAGTAACCGAACACCGGATCTGTGTCAGGCAAGCTGGCCTTTGATACTCGAGGGATGGTCTGTCAGGACCACAAGTGATGGTCACTTGAACCTGGGCAGCTTCTGGCCTTACAGGTGAACAGTTCCCGGGTACACAGAAGCTAAGCACAAGAAATCGGCTGCTGAATCATTAAAGCGTGGCTCGATGGCTGTTTATAGTCGCTGTACACTTTCCACAACTTTATCCTTTGGTTCCCCAAAGCTTGCTGAACACAACTATGTGAAGGACACCAAGCTGCGTACCAGGGATTCAGATATGAACAGGTCACTAGTGGTTCTGGGTGTTCAAAACACTGTGTGGGGATAGAGGGTGTGTGTGTGCGCGTGTGTATCTATGGCTGTAGAAATGTGTGTGTAAGCAAGAGCATATAAAGTGCATGCGCACAGATAAGGCTACGTGTGGGGGTAGGAATTTGCAGGAATGTGTTTCTGCAGGGGACTGGAATATGTAGGGGCAGTCTCGACACCTTAGAACGTATGGTGGGGGCGCGGTTAGGGGAATTTAAGGGTGGGGGCAGCAGGAGCAGCAGGGATGTGCGGAGGGGCTTATGTGGGTATATCTGTGGGAGGGAGGAGATGTAAAGATGGGAAGGGGGTATGCGGGGTACTTGGGGGGCATGTAGGGATGACTATGGACTGGGATGCATCGGGTGTGCTATGGGTGTGTTCTGTGTGTGTTGAGCCTTGTTCTCAGATTTCTGGAATATCCAGAGGAAGAGGGAGGATGTTAATGATTTATGAAGAGATCAGCCCCATGCTTTTCCCAAGGAGACCCTTTCCAGTCCTCAGTAAAGGAACAGCCACACCATCCTCTGGGCCCCACATCGCCCACCCTCAGGAGGCAGTACCCACCTCTCACATCGTGTCCCTGTGTACCCAGGTTTGCAGACACATCGCACATTTCCGCCATCCACAACACAGCCAGTGGCAAAGCTTAAAGGGAGACAGAAAAGGCCACGGTCAAAACACAAATCCACAAAGCTCATCCTTTCCTCT